TACTCCTCTTTTACTCATACNCCGAGACGCACTCTTCGTTTGTCCTTCGGTATGCCTCTTTATATATATATATATATATATATATATATGTGTGTGTGTTTTTTTTTTTTACATGACACGGCATATTTATGGAGACCTGCTTTCCCCTGTCTTGATCTGCCGATTGAAGTCTTTATTAGGTGTATTACTTTTTTCTGCCGAGCATGTTGTTTGTGACGTTTCTTTTTTCCGTAGTTTTCTGTATTCGCAGGATTTGATTATTATTATTATTATTATTTCTTTTCCTTTTGGCCTTATTGCTCTCTTTCTCTCTCTCTTTCTCTCTCTCTTCACCCGTGCCCGCGTTGAGCTGAGTCTGCTTCTTGCCAGGAAGCCGTGGATTGCGTGCGTGAAGGTGATGGGGTCACTCTTTAAGCTGCGCGACCACTGGTACGGCAGCTACCGCGGGGAGGAATTTAGCCACACCTCCGCGCTGACGCTTGGAAACGCAGCCAACAGCCCCGATGATGAGAATGAAATCATCTTTGGGTCCTTCTCAGGGACGCTGCGGGTGCTGCTACCAAAGAAGAAGGGCGCGATGCAACCGGAAGACACTCTCGTAGAAAAAGACTTTGGTGCACCTATTCTGCAGGTCGCGTGTCGACCTTTGGAGCCGGTTGTGGGTGGCCAACCAAGAAACTTGATAGCAGTTTTATCTCCGAGGCAGTTGTTCCTGGCCCGCCTGTTTTGCGAGCGAAACACGGAGGTTGAGGAAGGCAACACAAGCGCTTTGCTCAATAAATCATATCGGCTCACAGTGCACTATGAAGCGCGTCTGGATAGCACCGCGTACAACTTTACTTGCGGTAGGTTCGGCCACGCACCAAATGAAATGGTATGCGTTCAGTCCATGGACGGGCAACTCACAATTGTGAACCACAACTCGGTTGTGTCCCACTGCTTTCTTCCAAGCTCACAGTTTTTGCTGCCGGGGTGTTTCGCGTACTGCCCGCAGCGCGATTACTTTGTGACAAACAGCTCCTCCATGAACCTCCTGTGCTACTCCTTTGCGAACCTCACCAGCAATCGGGTGCGGTCCGAGACGCACCTGGGCGCCGATGAGAACGACATTGCAAACCCCCACGGAGACGCCATTTCCCCGTCGTGGACGTTTCTGCTGGGGGAGGAGGCGGTAGGGATTGAGGTCTGTCGCCATACCCGTGGACTGAGTGCGGAGGACGCTGACATTGTTGTGTTGTGCCACTACTCCCTATTTGTGTTACGCCTCAATGGGGAGATGCGCTTTTCGAGGCGCCTGGACGTGGAGACGTTGTGCCTCACCACCTATACTGTTCCCGGCGCTGAGGCCTGCAATCTCCTTATTGGCACCGTTAAGGGTTCCGTCAACGTGTACTCCGACGCGTCGCTCGACTGGAGCGCCAAGATGACCACGAATGCCCCTCAGTGTCTTGCTGTTGGGGAACTCCTCAAAACGAAGGGGATGATCGTGACACTTGCCACCGACGGTACGGTGGCTGTCAACTACCTTGGAACTGACCCGGAGGAGGATCCCATTCAGCCGCTGGAAAGCAAGGAGGCGGACTACGTTGAGATGGAGCGTGAACTGCGACGCACGATGCATGCGATCAAGCAGAGCTGTCGCGACGATAAAGCCCCAGGGAAGGAAACCGCCGCAGTGGAAGGCTTACTGCGTGTCGAGTGGGATGCTCTGCCAAGCGAAGTTGAGGGTCGAGACGGTGCGGTTACGAGTCCCTTAGTTTTTACTAACACGAGCGCCACTGACTCTGTGGGGGAGGTGACAATTGCGGTGCATGTCGTGGAGCCTGTCCGCGTTGACGTCCCCCAACAGGTGTTGGAGAACGTTCCAGCAGGTCAGACGGTGCGTGTTCCATTTCGTTTTGACGCACAAAACAATACTGACATGATTATACCTTCTTCGCTTGAAGCACGTGCGGTTGTGACGTATGCCGCCAGGAACGGTGCGATCTGTACGGTGAGCGTCACCGCACGTCTCCCTTTAACCCTTGTGGCACGCCCCTATCCCTCCCGTGAAAAATGCGCTTTTTGTCATGCAGCTCAACACCAATAAAGATGTACCCCCTTCCCTGTTTGACCTCTTTCCAGACATGGCGTACTCCGTGGATATCACCCCAAACTTGCTGTCAGTTCAATATGTAAATGGGGCAGATGCCACACTCTTGGTTTCTAAAAACGTATGCCGCTTTCGCTTACAGGCGTCAACCATGGAGGCACTTTGGATTCTTGCCGACGAGCTTCAACGACGACTTTGTGCACAGTATGGCTCCACAGTACAATTCACTGTCCCAGATCCACTTCCACTGGCGGACTATTACAACGTCATTGATACCCACGTTGCTGTGAGGAAGGAACTGATAGAGGCACAAGAGGCATTATCGCGTGCGGCACAGATGTTTCGCGCCGTCCAAAAACGTCTGCTATTCCTCTTCCGGGAACGCAATCCTGCACCAGTGGGCATGATGGATGTTCTACTTGAAGAGAGCTACGCGAATCTTCAGAGATGCGCAGACGGTGTAAGTAGGGCGAAACCGCGACAGAAACAGGCAGCGGCTATGATGTCGTCTTGTTCCAGGCTTATTCTCTTGCAGCTGTTCATCAAGTGCCAGGAGACGTTTAAGGATCCCAAGATGAGGCATCTTTTAGAGTCTATCTTCACTTGCGCCATTAACGACGATGACGGTGTTAGTTGGGAGGAACTGACAGACGCAAGTCTGGCCCATATCCTGCAGTCTTGCGGCGGAGGAGACCGTGCTGTCGCGGGAAAGGGAGGCGCAACCACTCTACCCGATGCAATCTGCGGCAGCCGTGACTGTGATCGCCTAAAGAAGCGCATTTCTGCATTGTTTGATGAGCTTCTTAGTGGGTCACAGATATCGATTTCGTAGGTCCCACAGAAGATGATGTCCGTTACACGTGACTCCACCCTCGCCTCCTTGTTGTGGCCGTCCTTGGTGTGGGTTCCCACACCAAAGGCAGATGCATAGAAGACTCTCTGTGGGTGTGTTTTTGTTTCTTTCTTTTTCTTCTCTCTTCCCCCCACCTTTCATTGGCTATCCGATAACTTCTCGTTGTTTGGCTTTATAACCTTTTTTACTTCTCCTTTTTTTTTCCTTATCTCTCTCTCTCTCTCGTTCTTTTTCCACCTGGGTGTGTTGGTGTTTTCGTCAGCTGCCGTTTTCTGCAGCAGTGATGAGCGGCGCGTCGGCGGGGCCACCAGGATCGACCGTTGCCGCCGCGAAGGGGGGGAAAAAAAACACGCGGGGAGGGGCTGCATTCAGCGGGGCGGTGCGACACCAACGGGCGCCCGTCAGATGCCTCTTGAGAGCCTGAACCTGGAGACAGTGTATCGGTCGCTTGTGGCGTCTCCCGCTCCGGGTTTCCAAAGGTCCTTTTTTGCCACGGCCTTTAACCCGCCACCGTGTGCGAGGGGGGTTTTAAATAGTAGCAATTACTGCTTTATGAACGCAACAGCACAGGCTTTAGCTTTTATCCCACCATTTGCGCAGCTAGCCATATCTGCGGTGAGGGAGGCGGAGGTGTGTCCGACGCTTGCCGCCCTGGGGAAATGGATACTCTCGTACTGGACTAGACCTCCCCTGCAATCGATTCCACCGCCCCGCCTGCCCAGTGTATTGCGTGGACCGGCGTCTTCCTCTGCCCCGCCTTCCCACTTGGCGAAGATGAATGGCTCGTCGCAGGAGGATGCGACGGAGTTTCTGCATCGCCTGCTGGAGGTGATTCAGGCGGAGTTGCGCGCATTAGAGGAAGGCTACAGTGAAAACTCCACTTGCGGAAGCCGTGAACCAACTACTTCGCTTTCGGAGAATGCAGAAACGAAGGGATGGACATTTGTGAAGGGCAAGGAGCGACTCTCTGTGCGAGAACACCGCGACGAGGCCCGTTCTGTTTTGTTAGATGCCGTCTTTGGCGGGGCGGTCGAGAATCATCTGAAGGGCAAAAGCAAACTGAAGGATCACGCCTCTGTCTTAGTCGAGGGTTTTTTTCTGCTTCAAGTGGATGTCGGTTTTAGTGCCGAATGTAGTCTTGAAATGGCGCTTGAACGGACACTACAACGTGAACGGGTTTACGACAGTGCACGTGCAAAGGATCTGCTGAAGACGGCAAAGCTGCGACGACTGCCTACGGTGCTCCTTCTGCAGCTGCGGCGCTGGGCTGTGACTGCTGAGGGGGAACTTGTCAAGCTCGACAACGTGGTTCGCTTCTCCAAGACGTTAGTGCTTCCTAAATCAACGTGCTCGGAGGCGACGTTAAATAATGCCGCGAGGACGTATGAGCTGGTTGCCTTTATTGCGCACCGCGGGAGGGCCACTGAGCGCGGACACTATGTTGCATATCTTGCCAATGCGTTTTTGCCAGACCCCGCAGTGGTGCAAGGCAATGCCGTGCTAACAATTTGCAATGACGCAAAAGTGGAGCCTGTTCCCCTGCGGGAGGCCGTAGAGAGTGAGGCGGTGTATTTGCTTGTTTATCAGCGCAAGACACAACAAGTAGGCCCTGACACCAGAGGATACGCATGAAATGCTATTGGGAATATATCCACTTGAATTGTCACTCTTTCTAGTTGCCTCTATATGCATGCACACATCCCTGATTTGTCACACCTGTTGCAGATGAATCTTTTAAAAAAAAATAACTAAAGCAATTTTGGGTGTCATGTTGTTTGCTGCTTTGCTCCTGACCTCTCCCCGCTGCTATTTATTATTCTTATCCGCTGTTCTACTTTCTTTGCTGTGTGTGCCCTGTGTGTGTGTTTCCATCCCATCACACTTTTTCCTCATCCGCTTTTTTTATTGTTTTGTTTCCTGTTTTTTCGTTTCTCTCTTAAGTGTTTCCTACGGGCGCAACGATGGACCTCCCTGTTTAACCGCCCGGTGTATGGCTCGCTCTGCGCGAGGTCGGAGAAAAGGATGGACTGACTTCCCTGTGCGGCAATACGAGGAATACGATCCTCTCCGGCCTCTGCTTTTAGGTGCAGGCAGCAGAGAACCGGCGGGACGGCGCACCGTGCATAATTCCTGGCGTCTGCTCGCGTACTCATTTCCCACCGTGTTTCGCCGGAAGGTGATGGGGCAGGCCCCCGCGAAGTTCCCTGACGCACTTAAGTGCCAGGAGGAGACGAAGCTGGAGGAGCAGAGGAGATGCTTCTGCCCTCGCTTGGGACTGCAGCCACAATTGACGAGGACGGGAATGGTGGGGGTGACGTCTGTCATGAGCAATTGCCTTCACCAAGGCTTTCACTTCCAAGGCAGGGACGGTGTCGCTGTGACGTGTTGTATACTGCGGCGCGTGCACTACCACGCCGCCGTCCGCAAACTGGAAGGCAACTGGCACCTGTTAAAACTTGCATGTGCAAACTGAGTTGCGTGCGCAACTCTTTCTTTGCAGTGCAGTTGCTTTTTTCTGTTTCTCCGCAGAATGCGGCGTCGGTTGCCAGTGGAGAAGTTGTCAACAAACCAGCAGAAGCATGTTTTCTTATGTATCTATATACATTTTGAATGGGTTGCCCGAGTGGGTGAGTGTAATGAGATTATTATTTTTATTATCATTTATCGTCTGTTTTCATTGTTCCCTTTATTTTCTCTGGCGAGCAGGCTGTCTGTGTCGCACTGTCTTTCTCTCTCTCTCTCTCTCTCTCTCCTCTCTCTTCATGGGGCCTAAAGGGAGCCTACGAGGCCTTTCCGCCCATCGTGTCCTCAGGCGCCACCATTCCTCATTGCTCACGGAGGGTTCTTCTTGGCACTGCCGCTATTACTGCTTGGAAATATGTGGTCTTCTCTTTTTTCGCTTTCTCTCTTTTTTGTTTTTCTTGTGCGCACACGCGTACATGTATGCCTCCATGAAAGTCAATGCCATCGCTGGATAACATTCCGGTCTCCGTCCCAGAGATGGACACCTTGGACGATGCGAAGGAGGCTGCTGTGACGGCGCTGCTTGAAGCCGTCTGCAGCCACTACGGCGGCACCTACCCGCCTCAGTTCGCAAAGTGCAAGGACGATGCGGACAGAAGAATCCTGGCGTATAAATATCTAAAGGCCCGCGCTTGGAAAGCGAAGGATGCAATGGAGATGATCACGACAACCATGCTATTTAGGGAGCAAAACAGGGCCGATTCTATGAACTTATTTCCTTGTGTTTTTTCCATCCGCGGCTTTGATGAAGAGGACTTGTGCCGCACCCTACGCGAGCCCTATGCGGAGCCGGAGAAGGAGTTCAAGCTCTACTTCCTCGCTGCGGGTCCCTACTACTCGGCGGGCTACCATTATTGGGACAAGGAGGGGCACCCTGTGTTGTACGACTTTTCCGGTCGGTGCAACGTCAAGGAACTCTTGAGGTCGTACGCGTCAATAACCCCGGTGGGCAAAGGGGATAAGGACGCCATTTTGCATTACCATCTTTATATGAATCTCGTACAGGAGAGACTGGTGAAATACGCCGATGTGAAGAGTGTAGGGAGAGGGGGTCGCCGTATCCTTGGCGTGACCGCGATTATGGATATGGAGGGGCTTCATCTGGGGATGTTTAACTCGCATATCGTGGGTATTGTGCGCGCCATCTTTACTATGGATCAAATGTACTTCCCTGAGGCGCTACACCGCCTTTTAGTGATCAACTGTCCTAGCGTTGTCATGTATGCCTTTGGATTGCTCCGCGGCTCGCTTGATGCAAACACCCAACAGAAGGTGGTCTTCTGTGACAAGGCAAACTCTGCGGCTGCAGTGAAGAAAATTATTGATGAGGACAAAATACCAAAGTTCCTGGGTGGATCCTGTGAGTGTACGGGCGGTTGCGTGCCAGGCATGGATTCGGTGTGTAAAGGACTTGCGGATGTCTCTTCCCCCATCCCTCTTACGGAGGACATCTCCATCTCGGCGGGGAAGCGGCATGCGAGGGAGCTCCTGCTTCAACCAGGGGAAGAGGTTCAGTGGGAGTTCAGGTGTGCGAAATCTAAAGGGGGACACGCGACCGATATTCATTTCCACGTGTCGTTTACGGCACACGACGAGCTTCAGGCTTCGAAGCGCCCTCGGACCGACCCGCCGCTGGACTCGCGTAGGTCTTCAAGGAGTTCTCAAAAAACGTCAGACTTGTTTACAAGCCTCAAGACGTTGAGGTCGGGGAAAGTGGAAATGGACAGCGACCGTTTTTTGGCCAACGAGCGTGGGATGTTGAAATTGGTGTGGGATAATCACGCGTCGTGGGTGCACAGCAAGCATGTGCAACTGCGCATTTTCAAAAGCGGGGGCTGAACGCTTATTTCTGAATAACGCGAACACAGCCAACGGTGACCGCAGAACACGTCCTGCGGCGTTGTCGTGGGGTTGTTTCACCGTCATCTGGAGGTTCTGAAAGACCACTCGCACAAAGGTGGAAGCGGCATGCGTCATCAAGCACTATCTGAGCTGTGTGGAGGTCCTGACGCGAGTGAAGCCGCAAACATATACGACTAATAATGGCCACCCAGTTGCCTCTTACGTAGAACGCACGACGAAGCAAAACCGAAAAACAAAAGTCTGCTCAAAAGCCGTTTAAAACACTGCTGACTCCTTCTAGAAAAGCAATAAACACAAACGTATACGCAATCGGGATAACAAAAAGTTAAACAAGAATTATATATGGCGTACACTCTAGTGCGCCGGAAAATAATGAAAACAGTAACTTGGAGGAATTCACTTGAATGCGCGTGTAAACTCCTTAGCTTCGGCATTGATTCTGTCACCTTTGCGTTTGTGCGTAGACGCATAATCTCTACCACAACGGACAGACTTGCTGGAAAAATCCTTGACGCTGGAGCAAGTGAGCAGGATGCTCGCGTCTGGTTGACCACTACACACTGGTTTTTGTTAACTTATTCGGTTACCGTCGAAGACCACCGAAGAGAAGTCAAAATAGACACGACTGTGAACCTGGCAGTGCATAGCACGCAAGGGGACAATTGAAACGTTGTGTTTAAATAACATATGTGTATCCTTGCGCCCTATTCAATTTCTTACCTTTACTGAGATTATTTTTCCAGCGAATCTGGCGGCCGCGGTGCCGGGACCCAGTGCCTCGCAAAGGGGGAGCCAAGGACCGGCGGGCAGTCCCTCCTACTCGTTGTTGGCCCCCCGGTGGCGGCAGTTGGGCTTTTTTGGGCGCCGCCGTGCGCAGGGGGCCCGGGGCAAGTGCAGTGGGCTTCCCGCCCAACAGCTGCGCGCGCCGAAGTGCGGCGGCACCTCTCGCGCTGATAATGCATCGGTAGACTAGTGAAATATTTCCGACTTTCGGTGTGACGGAGGACCCGGGACGCCTCCAATGCATATACTGCCTGCAGTTCAAACACATCGGGTGGGCTGTTCTTCGCGCGAGGGCGGCGCACCGTACGGAAGCGGCCCCTCGGCTCCCTGGGCGTGTGCGGTCAGCAGTTGCCGCTTGCGAGAGCCGGGCGCCCAACCGGAACCCGGCCCCGGCGAAAAGGGCGGGCCCGGTGGAGGGGGGGCGGAGTGGCCC